TTACATTCAGCAGTTTAAATCCAGTATCGCCTTATATCTATAATTATGAGTTAAATGTAAAATGCAATTAAAAAAGATAACTGTTAATGCCTAATGAATGTCAGTGAGAAGAATAGTATTGGGGGGGGGAGGGAAGAAGTCATCACTGGGAAAGATTTAAAGTGGAGTGCCTCAAGGATCAGTGTTAGCACCACTTGTGTTCGTAGTGCATGTTAATAACCTTCCCAACAGCATAAACAACTGTGTGACCATGTTTGCTGATAACTGCAAACTACAGGAAGGAAGCTTCGATAAGATGTTCAGCTAGAGTACAAGAAATGGCTTAATGAATTCATTGTTTGCAGAGAAGTGTTATGTATTGGAGTTTGGGGAGAGTAACAAGACGTCACGTGATAAACAGTTTCCGGTGCATGATAATAGACGCAAGAGAGAAAAGGATATAAAAGAAACGATAATTATCATATCTCCAAAACATAATTTACGCGAAGTAATATCAAGGTCTCTTGCAGTGTTGGCTGACTTAAGTTTGGTAGTTAAATGAATAGGAAAAATACCTAAAACACAGAATAGAGGCAGTGAAGAGTAGAGGTGCATGAACATCAGAGATCCACGGTTGTTCAGTATCCTCCCAGTAAGTATAAGAAATATTACCGGACGAAAAGTGGAAGTCTTCAAGAAAAACTAGACAATTTTCTGCAGAAGTGCCGAACCAACCGGGCTGAGGTGAATATGTGGGCCTGCGGGCCGCTCCAAGCAACAGCCTAGTGGACCAAGCTCTCACAATTTTAAGCCTAGCCCCGGGCCGGGCATGGGGAGTATAATTACCAGAGCCTCATTCAGGTACCTAAAGAAATATACCAACAAGTTAGAATATAGAGGTATGCTACTGAACTTGAAGAAATGAACCGGGTACTGTAGAGAAGTGTACAAAATTAGATGTTGCATTCTTGAATATGGAATGGAAGACAAACTATCAACGTGAATCCAGACGGATAAGGAAAATTTCCTCAATCCAGCAACAGGTAGAATCGAAAGGACTTTCAGGTGAAATTTGTGGAAGTATTTCTTCTGAAATCGGATTGTGAACCTCGGGGACGAACTACAGAACGAAATTGTGTGCAAAATGCTTGTAAGATTTCAAGGGTAAATATGATGTATAGCGCGATGTATGGTTAAGTAACAGGCTACTAGAATTTAACTCAAGCAAATGTAAAATAATGAACTGGGAACAGGAGGCCGTTCTATATGTATTAGACCCGTGACCCAAGAACTGAAGTTCAACCCCCTAAAGCACAGCTAGGTGAATACTCAGAAGCGCTCATGCACGCAAATTCATAGCTGTCCATGGCATAGTTTGCAAAGTTGCTATATGGCCTTCCGGATAAAACCACTCGATAAATATCAGAGTAAGGTCGGATAAACACGTACATTACTGAGTCAGAGGGATGAGGTCGCAGTTTGTCCTCACTGTCCGGAGTGGTGGTGAGGGACACGCGAGCTGAGGTGCTGGTAGATGGTCTAGCTTTCCCCCAACCTGCCAGGGGGGAGCCGGAAGCATGCAACTTTTCGATAGGTTTGGTCGGCGTTAAAGCTAACCAAGAGGTTAGCCTCAAGATTAGCCTAACACTGATCCTTGAGGTTAACACTAACCAAGAGGTTAGCTCTACATAAAGGTTAATGGCCAGTTTGGGAAAATTATTAAACGTGATAAAGTTGATGAAAAAAGTGTCAAATCAGCTGTGGCTACTCAGCTATTGTTTCCAGGATACACAAGATATAAACTGGAAATGCTTCATAATTTCTCTGCAGATGCTCCATTGTCATAATAGACTGGTAATTGGCTTTCGTGAACCCTGCAGGCCAGCAGCAGTCTCCCTTGGGCACGTCTACATCTGCGTAATTAGTGGAGGTAATTTGAGATACGGTATCTGCAATTTACGGCCGTAAAATTTCATGATGAAAGCCGGTTGGGTACTCTCCTCTATTCCGTCTCATGATCTATTACGCGGCTCGACCTTTGACCTGATGCATTTATCTCTTAAGTCTCCAAGCCCTAATGGGTATATTTGATCACACATTACGCACGGGCATTGACCCTTGGGGCTGGGGTGGCAGGAAAGCGGGGTTTATGACATAATGTGGTAAATGGTAGTAAGTTAGGTGTCGGGCAATCATTGACCTCATTAGTCAGGCACTCAGACAACAACTAACTTCATTTGTCAGGGGACCCTGACATCCATTGACCCCATTAGTCAGGGATCCAGAAAGGGGGTTTGTGATTTTACGTTTTTATGTGAAGCACTAAGCACAATACACGGGTTCAGTACAAGCATTAAACAAAAAATAGGGGTTTAAAGAGAAGTATTAAGCTAAAGACGGGTTTGAAGAAGCATTAAGTATAAGACGGGGTGTTTAAAAGAAGGATTAAGCACAAGACAGGGTTACAGGCAACCACTAGGCTAGCCACAACGCCGAGGACTGGGAAGAGTCACGCGTACACGGTGTGTGTATGTGGGTGGGTGGACGGGTGGGGGTGTAGGATTGGCCCCCACCACGGCCAAGAGTCTCACTGACTTTCAACATCCGGCCACAATTGTTTCCGCTCTTTATTATCTGTACCGGCAGATGCGTAGACAATGCAACCGGTGTATAGTCAACATAAATGCATCACGCGATAATACATCCTGGGCCTTTTGCGTTTAGGATTCAGGCAATGGTTTGTGTGGGCTATTTGTTTGGTAACCTGAACTCACGAATGGACCCCAATACTGTAATTTAATACTTAGCAGTATTCTTATACTTGTACTGATTATGGGTCTACTGTATTTTCGTGCTTGTATTTAGCTTGGACATTTGCCTGATGTATTTCCACGTTTCAGTCAATGAGAACTGTACGGTCCTTCCAATTACCATAAGGTACTCATTAGCATTAATGATTAACAGCACAAGTGTTGTGTATCTGGTCAGCTGCATCCACACTGGCATGGGCGGGGTGGCGATAATTTGAACCTTACAACTGACAGTTTACATAAAGGTTTATCCCTCCCCGCACGTTGAACATACACTGGCTATCTCTCATGCAGACTAAGACCACTTCCTCCGCAGACGCCCATCCCCCCTCCTCCCCCTAATATCTCGTGCTGCCACTCAGCTCGTTTGTACAAGTGGTAGTGTTTTTTGTGGCCCTCATCCTGGTGTGGGGTTAGATAGCCTCGTCCGCACCCAAGTCACGCCCGTTCCCCCCACCACCCCCAGTTTCCCCCGCTCTTTCTTCCTTTACAACCTTTCCTTCCCCCCCACCCCACCCTCTATCCTCTCCTTACCCCTACTCCCTCCCCCCTTCTCAACGTCTTCCTTGCAGTTGGGGTCAATTGATCTGCAACTTTTACTGGAAATTAGAATACATAAAACAACCATAATGTCATTTAAGTTTCAAATTATTTAACAGTATAATAATCAAGATTGGGATAGGCTCTAGGCTCCGTTCGGCCATGCAGTCTGTGAGTGGGGAAAAAGAAGTCGTGATTCGTGAAGACCTTCCAAAACTTACCTACATCTGGTAGTTATTCCCACGGAGGTGCTCTTATGTGATGTATACTACTCCAACGGGAGTGCTGGGTTTCTCGCGTGAAACATTTTCATAGTTTAATGTTTTAATTACGGAAGTATGTTTTGTAATATCGATTTTCACTAAATTTCCAAGATGATTAGTCTTCCCTGAACACCTACATGAATTTTTAAATTTGAAAAGATTGAGCAATGGCACCTGGGGACCTGCTATTTATGATGTCTCCTCCCCTAATGCATGCCAAGGGTTCTTCATTTTTCTTTGCTGCCAAGATTGTGTACGTTCGTATGTTTGCGCGTGCGTGCTCTGGGGGTCATGTGCATACGTGCGTACTTGCCTAGGTAACCTCATGTAGTTGTTATTGCGAAGAGTTGAGCTTCAGCTCCCGATCCCGCTGTCAATATTTTATCAGCTTGTGAATCTGTGTAGGTCGAGTGTATGGTCTGTGCGGCAACTACTGTCCTTCCTAGTTCATAAAATTCTTCTTCACTAGTCTTGACTCGGGTTCTTTCTCAAATGT